GCATCCAGATATTTGTTCCCACTCTCTCTCCAGTGATGTAGGTGCTATTATTATGTCTCTTTGGAGAGAAAGCGGAAGCAGGGGAAATGCAGTTCCTTGACTGAGGTCACAAAGCTGGAAAGCAGTAGAGTGGGATYTGAATACATGCTTGGGGGCTGCAAGCGCTGCAGGGCCGGGGTCTTCACATGCCACAGTGATTCACTTGGAGGGACAAGACAGACAGGTGTGAGAAGAGTTTTAAGAGGAAATAAGCTTCACATCTTCAGTGGAGTGGAGCCTGACCACTTGATGATTTCCATAGGAGACGAGGCCATTCAAAAGCAACGGGGTTTTATTAATGTATTTGTTAGGGAGAAGAATTTCTTGACAGGATGATTAATTTTCTAACAGGCTACACATTGTTCGTTTCTGAGCTCTTTTTAAGAGAATCAATTTTAGAAGATAATTTCAATTTAGATTTAATCTGACTACAAATGAAAACGTTTTCATGTTCTTTTTAGTTTAGATTCCAAGGTACTGGCACAATGGAGGGACAGCTTTGACATCTGCACCTTGGGCCACTCACTTCCCTATGCCATACCTTAGTGTCTGCTTTTTTTTTTTTTTAAGATAGATACCTTTTGTCCACTTTCTTACAGGAATGTTAAGATCTATAGTCCTACTAGCAAGAAGAGTGTGTGTCTGTGTGTTATTGATGAGATACTGTTCTCCTTTTTTTTTTCATATAATCCTAGATAGCTTTTTAAAAATTTAATTCTTTTAACARTTTGAAAAGTGTACAATACAATTTTGACATAGTTACATTTATAAGTGGGAATAAAGGCAGTAAGAAAGAGAGGAGCCTTAATTGGCTTCGGCATTAAAGAAATCTAATTTCATGCTTTAAAGTACTATATGCAACACTGCTGAAGAGGGTAAAAATAAAATTAGATAATGAAAAGTACAATTTGGAAAAAGTTAACATTATGTTACTAATCATGTTACTCAGCATTCCATTACTATGATATAATACCAGGGATAAATAAACTTAAAAAGAGCAAAGGTTTATTTTGGCTCATAGTTTTAGAGCTTTTGGTTCATGACTGATTAACCCTGTTGCTCTGGCCCTGTGGCAGCATTGGACAACACAGTGGTAGTGCAAGGTTGAGGAACTGTTTATCTCCCAGCAGCCTGAATGARGAAAAAGAGAGAGGAAGAGACCCATATTCCCCTTTGAGGGCATCTTCCCTCAGGCCACACCTCTTAATGTTACCATTCCCTCCCAGTAGCAGCCAAAGTGAGAGCTAATCCAAACCATAGCCAGATCCAAATGATAGTACTAATATATACATTTACAACCGTGTACTTACTTTAATTATCATAATAAGCAGAGGTTAATACTAATGGCCATTTACTGGATGCATGCTGTTTAAAAATATATTGTCCGTAAAGTGCTTTTCATAATTGTTTTGCTTGATACTTAGGGTATTTGCAACTTTTCCGCTATATTTTATTTTTTGGAACCAGGGATTGAACTCAGGGGCACTCAGCCACTGAGCCACATCTCCAGGCCTATTTTGTATTTTATTTAGCGAGAGAGTCTCACTGAGTGGCTTAGTGCCTTGCTTTTGCTGAGGATAGCTTTGAACTTGAGATCCTCCTGTTTTAGCCTCCGAAGCTGCTGGGATTATAGGCATGTGCCACTGYATCTGGCTTCCACTACATTTTAAATAATAGTATAATGACTATCTTACATATACATTGTAAATAAATATTTGAATAAATTCCTAGAAGTGAAAGTAATGGTTCAAAAAGTACATTTTAAAGATTTAGTATAGACTGCTAAAAATTATTGTAATTCAGCATGGTATAATATTATCCAAAATTTATAAATTCTAATATTTGTATGGTTGAACTCTTTTTCTTTCTGTGCTGGGGGTTGAATCCTGGACCCATCCATGCTAGGCAATAGTTGGATTTTTGAAATATATTGGACATTTGCTTTTTTTGTTTTTCCTTTWTTTTTTTTTTTTTTGAGAATTTTCTATTTGCCAGGAGTAGCAAGCAAAACTCATTGTCTCTTATACTTTGTGGATTTTTTTTTCTGCTTTATAACAAACTTTTCATATTTCGAACTCTTAAACTTGCAAATTCAGATGCTATACTTTGTCTTAGTGAGGAAGCATATCTTAGAAGAAAGCAGGCCAAGTTAGGTGCCTCTGTTAGACTTCATTTCTTCCATTGCTTTTTTCGGTTGGACTTCCATTTTTTATGTTTTTATTTCTTGTTCTTTCTTCCTGTTTTTATTTTCATCTCCTTTACTTTTAGTAAGACACACTTCCTTTTAAAACAATATCTCCAGGCATAATGGGTATATATGAGATTCTGATTTGTTGAAATAGGTATTATTTTTTTCACTTTGAGTTTTTTTTTTTTTTTTTTTTTTAATGATACTGCTTAAACCACAAGCTTCAGAGTCCTCCTTATCTTTTCTCCTTCATACCCACATCCACTCTGTGAGGAAACACCATCAGATCATCATCTTCACCACTATCTCCCTGGTCAAAGGTACTGTGTCTTGTTCCTGGACTATTTTAACAGCCTTCTAACTGGTCTCTGTGCTTAGCTTTTACCATTCACTGTCTATTCTCAACCCAGAAGTTGGGGTGATCTGTGTCAGTTAGCTGTCCATAACAGAAGACTCAGATCATTAACTTACAAGGAGGAAAGGTTTACTTTAGCTCACATTTTGGAGGTTTCAGTCTATGGTTGGATGACTTGATGGTTTGTGGTGAGGCAGGACATCATGGTGGAGGCCCCGGAGGAGGAAACTTTCACCTCAAGGCTGGGAGGGAGCAGAAGAGAGGAAAATGGGAAAGGGGAAGAGACAGAGAGAGGGAGGAGGGGCGGGTATCCCTCTATTCCATTCCAGGGCATGTCCCTATCTGATTGGAAGGCTTCCAAAAGGCCCCACCTCTTACATGTTCTACCACCTCCCAATAGTACCCAGTGCTGGGGACCTAGCGTTCAACTCATGGGCCTTTTGGGGACTTATCCCAAGCTATAACATGATCCCATTATAACTGGCCAGGGGAAGTCACTTTTCTATACAAAGTCTTCCAATGGCTCCCAACTCATTCATCTGATCTTCATCGCCCCTGGCTCTTGTTTCTCTTATTTCATTCTCCATTCTTCTGTCATGTCCTCTTGGGTGCTCCTAGTAATCAGGCATACTCCTGCCTTCAGTATTCATTATGCCTTCCGCTGAGAAAGTTGTCTGYGCAGACCTTTGCCTCCTTCAAATGTTTTTTCTTGATCATTCTTTTAAAAGAGCACCTCTCATACTTCTTTAAAAWTTTTTTTTTAGTTGTTGATGTACTTTTATTTATTTATTTTTWTGTGGTGCTGAGAATCGAACCCAGTCCTCACATTTGCTAGGCAAGTGCTTTACCATTGAGCCACAACCCCAGCTCTCTCATACTTCTTATGTAGCCTCTCTGGTGATTTTTTCTCAGTGGCATTGTGCATGGGTGTGTGTGTTGATGGGCATCAACCCAGGGCTTGGTGCATGGTAGACAAACCTTCTATCACTGAACTATGTCCATAGGATTTAAAATCATCTGCCACTTCACATATTTTATTTATTTATCACCTGTCTCTATCAGAAAACTAAGTTCCATAAGGGTTGGAACTTTTGTTTTTGTTCTTTATTTTGTCCCCAACGTCTAAAAGAGTGCCTAGCATGGAAAAAAGCACTGAATTGATACTTGTTGAATGAGTGATTGCCTTACATTCCTGGGTAGAGCAGGCCCAGGTGACCTGTGCAGAAATTCTTGGTTTCTTCTCTCATCTCTAACTCTTTTGTCTTCCCGAGTTTATACTTAGGAGCCGACTTCTTGACGGCACTTGTCACAGGTGAGAGCTGGTGAATCCTGAAAGATACTCTTGGCAAGTTTAATCTGTGTTCCTGCTGCCATCCGAAAACCCAGCGGTGGTGATAGGCAGCTATAGAAGACTGAAGTTTTCACTCTTCAGTTTCTGTGGGTGCAAGAGAGAACATGAAATTAGATCTACCCGATTTGGGTTATATCTGGATTGCCATTCATGAGAACGAAGGCAGGAAGATACTTCCCCCAAAACAGAGCTTGGCGATGGGTCAGTAGGATGCTGCTGTGGTTGAAAACCTCCACGWCCGCCTCTGTAATCTGTGGCCCAGCCCCACCCGTTCAGATTGGGCTCACCTCAAGTTTCAGCCACATAACCGCAGGGCCGTGAAAACGCCAAGAGAGCTTCTAACCAAGGGTTTCGATTTCCTCCTCTGGGATTTAAAGTCCAGAAAGCAGAGGCTTGACTTCGCGGTCCAAGCGCATAAAGGGCGTGGGAGACAGGAGGGAAAGCCAGACAGTGTGCAAGCTCGCAGTCCACGGGCAAAGGTAGTCCAGGGCGGGAGGGCCGGGCTCTGGGAAGGGGGTCACCTGCACCCTCCTGCACTTCCATGCCCCAAGGAGGTCTGAGTTGGGGAAGATTCATCTGTGTTGTAAAGAGCCCTACATTTTTTTTTTTTTTTTTTTTTTTTTGGAGAAGGGTCATTGTCAGTAAACCTTTGACACACAAACCCACCAACAAGCCCGGTAGCGCTAAAACTATCCTTTAAAAGCAAAACAACAAAACTGCCACCCTACCTCCGCCCCAGTCCCGTAGGTTGCTAAGTCCCAAGCTTCCCCCTTCCTTCCTTTCTTTTGAACGTCCTGTGTGTGGAGAGGTGAAGTTCCGGCGAAAGGCGAGCCCCCAAGGGTGACGCGTCCTGCTGGGAGCCCCAGTTCAAGTTTCGGTGGAAACTTTCTCCCCGAGGCCCCGCCTCCTTCACCTTGGAAACCGCGCAGGCCGGAGCGCGCGCCGCCGAGTCCTGGCGCACCTGGCGGCCGCGCGTCCGGGCGGCGGGGCGGGGCCGGCGGCCGCGGGGCGGGGCCTGCGCACTCCCCTGGGCCGGCAGGTTGGGCCCCGCCCCCGCCCCGCCCAGCTCCCGAGGGCACTGGCGGGCGAGGGCGGGCGAGGGCGAGCCCTGGACCCGYGCGGCTCCGCCACCGGCTGACGCACGGTCGGAAAGTTGCGCTCCGAGCCCGTGTCGCCCGCTACGTTCTCCACGAGTACTCCTGCTGAGTTTGGACCGAGGCTTGGAGGACCCGGGCCCGGACCTGTGAGGGCAGCCGGCCCGGATTCCTGGGCCGGGCGGGGAGCCGGCTCTGCCTTCCTCTCAGTGCCCAGCGCCGGTGGCGGCTCCGGGGCCCGACTCTCCGGGACCGCGGAGCAAACTTTGTGACTGTACGGGGACGCTGCGCGGTGACGAGGAGCCGCGGTCGCCGCAGGTACGTGGCATGCTGACCTGAGCTTTGCGCTCGAAGGGTTCTTTGATTTAGGGCTTCGAAGGAAAGGGGACAGCCCGAGTGGGCAGGAGGAGCAGGTGGGGCTGCGAATGTCCCATAGTGGGTCCGGTCGGGACAGGACGGGAAGGAGGTGGTTCCTAGAGCTGCAGGCTGTGGCACAGGACGTTACTCGGTGACTGACTCCGGGAAAGAGAGGGCCAGCTTGTTTTGACGGAGAAAAGATGTCATCAGGTTCTCCACCCCTTTCCTTGGTCCCTGGGGCCAGTGAGCCTGGATCCTACGTGAGGGACTGGCAAAGAGATCTGGCTCTCAGTTTTCCTCTCCAGACCTCCTTGCTTACACAACAGATAAGTGGTGCCACTCAGGTTTGTAGCACTTCGTTGGTTTAAGGACTTGTTGGGTGGCTGTTGCTCAATTTCATAAATTCTCTCACGAAACTGTTCAGGTCGTGGTTGTTATTGATAGTGTGTGTGCATGTTTTCCTTGGCCTTAACAAAGCTCACTTGTTAACCCCACTTCTGCGAGGGAGTAGAGTTAGCTTTTGTTTTATTTCAAGCCTGCTTAGAGGAGTATTGGAGGCGGCTGCAGCCTTGTTTGCTGGGGATTTTGGAAATCACGTGAGCAGGTCTGATGAATTATGCCAGGTCTGTCCCAGCCTCTGGACCCATACCTTTACAACAGAGGCAGTTTCCACCATTCTTCAGGTGCCCCATCCCTAGCCATCCAGGGATCAGGAACACTACACTCCCCCTGAGGGAAAGAACCCCCAAACCAAAGAGAGACAGCCCTCTGGAGGAGGAGGAGGAGTAAACAATGCTTACCGATTGTTGCTTCCCTGTGGGTTGGGCCTACTACTCCCTTTGCTTTTCTGGAAGGCCTTGCTATCAAATTCATCTCATTAGGAAGTCAGCTGATCCCTGCTAATAGTCATAGCAGCCCTGATGAAATTATATAGGTCATTGAAAAATAATTCCCACTTAATCACCTTTATCCTGTTGATTAAGAGAGAAAAGATTTCCTTTCCTTATGGTACACCATGCCTGCTTGTCAGGGTCACCTGCCTGACCTCAAGTTTACTTGTGCTCCTGGCACTAGACAGGATATGGTCCCTGAACCTGCCCAAACATGGTGGACCACAGCCAAATTCCACTTTTGGAAAATTTCAGTAGTCTTCTTTGGACAGAAGTTGAGCCGGAGATTCAGTCCATAAATTTATGGCATATTAGTTGGCTTTGAATAACTTATCAGATAATTAAAGGCTGGTTTCTTTTAGTTCTGGTTAATCTCTTCCTGCAAAGCTTCTAAGAATTGTGTCTGTGCCTGCATTGAAATAAATTAAGTTTGGGGTCCCATTTGTCATTTGTCTTAGAGCTTTAGGAACAGGATTAAACTGTGCCGGGTGAATGGAAAGGGCAAGGGAAACTGGCCATAATCAAATGAACTCAGGGAATGATTTAGAGGGGCCAAATAATTTAGGCCCAACTGCCCAGCTCCTTTCTTCTTACTTTGAACACAGAGGTACTATGTTTTAGGCCTTTGAAGACTTTGAAGGAATGAAAAGGGTGTTCTGTTTTTACAGAATCAGAGTAACACATTGCTGGACAGTTCTGTGTTCTACCTCCCAAGTTTCAAAATACTTTCTTTGCAAAGTTCTTTCTATAATAGGAAGCTAACAGATAATGACTACAACTCAAGAAACAGATGAACAAATGTGTAGAAATGTGAAGGTAAATATTAGAAGAAACAAAATTTACTGCTGAGGAATAAAATTATGATCTTGTAGCACTTKTAAGAAGGAAATTTGATAATGTCCCTTTTCTCTCTGCAAATATAAAGCAAGTTTATTTTCTCTGATTTCTTTTAGACTCTTGATGTTTATTATGTGTATGTACACTTGTCTCATAGGGATCTGGAACCTTATTCTTGGCCTTGAAACACAATTTATATCTACTTTACACTTCTTCCTAGTGACTTCCAATTCTTAGTTTTAGCCCAGGTAGAGGAACAATGCTTAAGAGTGACCAAACACTCCAGGGACTTTATTTAAAGGGATCTCTTAGTAAAGACAGTAACAAAAGTGAAAATTTCTATAATGTCTTATGATTAACAAAGTTATTTCACATATATCATATTTATGCCTTGTGATTTAATCATTTCATAGTGAACTCTATTAGACTACACAGGAAGAAAACAGATGACTTTGTGAGATAAAAAGGGATTTTTTTTATACCTTWATTTAATTTATTTATTTATGTTTATGTGTGCTGAGGATTGAACCCAGTGCCTCACAGGTGCTAGGAGAGCGTTCTACTGCTGAGCCACAACCCCAACCCAATAAAAAGGGATTGTAAGTGCATACTTTKCTCTGTTTGGTGGACTCAGATCAACATTCAGGATTTCTGATTTATAGGCCATGCTTTCAGGTTTTTCCATTTAATTTTGTGAAGTATTTGAATATGAAATGGGATCACCTTTCTTTCTTTAATCATCTTTTTTTCTTTTTTATTATGTGGGGATTGAGCCCAGTTGCTCTGMCACTAAGCTATATCCCTTTAAGATAGGGTCTTGCTGGATTGCCCAAGCTGGCCTTGAACTTATGATCCTCTTTCCTTGACCTCCCAGGTATCTGGGATTGCAGTTGTGCACCACTGCACTCAGCTGGGATCTTATTTCTTATTAACCAAAACGAGGACTCATATGGGGACAGGTCAATAGGACTATATATAAATATGTGCATGTGCCTGTGTGTGTGTGTGTATGTATATACATATAAGTATATGCACATATATGATCTTTATATTCTCTGGGTCTCAACAGTGTAACTATCCAATAAAATTGAACTAATGTCCATCACATTTGGAAGGGAAATCCTGCAGGGAGAGGGGATTAATAGATGTCCTGATAGATTAAATAATGAACTATTGGTAATGTCTAAAATTAAACAAACAAACCAGGAAACAGCAATGTAAGTGTGTGATTTTTCAAACATGGTAGTAATTACCAGAATAAACAGAAGAGTCAAAGGACTTTTTTTTTTTGTGGGGAATGAAATTTAGAGATGAGGCAGAGTCAGGCAGGAATCTTTTTTTTTTGTAATGTATCTGATTTAGATAAAATTTTATTTTTTGTATGTGTGTTTTGGTATTTATGAAAAACTTTAGAGAGATAGAGTAAGGGTCTGTGGTCAGGATTTTAGAGTCTCCCTAGCACTTGTTTGCGCTCTTCCCCAGGCAGATTGAGAATTTCCCCAGGCCAGTGGTTCCTCATTTACCTCTCTACACTATTCTTTCTTTTCCTTCTATCTGGTTTTTACAGTGTTTGGGTAGGTTATAGGACTATGGAGCCAAAGACATTTATCTCTAATTCCTCATATTTCCATTATGAAAATGCCTCAAATATCTTTATAATCTTCAGAACCTGAACCATTTGTTGTTGTTAATTTTGTGATTGCTTTTGCTTAGAATTAGAGACATGCTGTTAGAAGTTGACAGTGTTTGCTCAGTTGAATTTTTTGAAAATAATTATTTTTTTTTTAAATTTTCATACTGGGGATTGAATCCAGGGGTGCTTTACCAGTGAGCTATATCCTCAGACCCTTTCTTTTTTTAAAAAAATATTTTTAATTTTGAGACAGGGTCTTGCTAAGTGGCTTAAGGCCTCACTAAGTTACTGAGGCTGGTCTCCCACTTGTGATCCTCCTACCTTAGCCTCCTGAGTCTCTGGGATTATAGGTGTGTGCTACCATGCCCAGCTGCTCAGATGAATTTGATAAACTGGAATTTGGGATGTATTTTTATCTTGAGAAATAAAGAAAGAACACTAAAAGGACTTTTTCAGTATTTGTGTGTCACTTAATTTTGAAGKTCTGAGAATGAGTATGCTGTTGTCCTTCCAAGGAGGTAGAGACAGATAATATTTCAGCACTATTATAAAAAAGTTAACACCTTGTTTTCCCTTTTCTTTATGAATAAGACTCCTACTCCACTTCCAGTTATGAAACTTTTTTCTTTCTGATTATACATATAAATATATATTATTAAAAATCTAAACATTACCAAAATATAATGTTGACAGTTAAAATGCATTATGATCTTATGTTCTGAAGAAACTGCTGTATATTTATCCCCTCAAAATTTTTCTTTATATAAAGCTATATTTATTTATCATTTTGGTTGTTAATGACAAAGAAGAATAATACCATGCAACTTTCAACTTGGTATTTATATATTAATTTATTTTTGGAGTAGGAATTCATAAACCTAGGGTTTGAGCACTGAGCTACATCTAGCCCTTCACTGTTTTTTTTTTAAATATTTATTTTTTAGGTGTAGTTGGACACAATACCTTTATTTTTTTCATTTTTTATTTTTTTAATATTTATTTTTTAGTTCTTGGTGGACAGAACATCTTTGTTTTGTATGTGGTTCTGAGGATCGACCCCGGGCGGCATGCATGCCAGGCGAGCGCGCTACCGCTTGAGCCACATCCCCAGCCCCACAATACCTTTATTTAATTAATTTATTTTTATGTGGTGCTTAGGATCGAACCCAAGGCCTGTCATGTGCTAGGCGAGCGCTCTACCATTGAACCCCAGCCCCACTTCACTGTTTTTTTCTTTTTAATTAAAATTTTTTTTTTAGTTGTAGATGCACACAATACCTTTATGTTATTTATTCATTTTTATGTGGTGCTGAGGATGGAACCCAGTGCTTCACATGTTAGGCAAGCATTCTAACACTGAGCCATAATCTCAACCTTCCAGCCCTTTTTTTTTTCTTTTTGTAGTTGTAGATGGACAGAGTGCCTTTATTTTATTTGTTTATTTTTATATGGTGCTGAGGATCGAAACCAGTGCTTCACGCATAATGGGCAAGTGCTCTGCCACTGAGCTACAGCCCCAGCCTCCAGCTCTTGCTTTTTATTTTTATATTTTTTAATTTTATTTTTTTTCTGGTCCTGGGGATTGAACTTAGGGGTGCTCT